TCGGAGTTATATAAAAAATTGTCTTTGATCTTTCAAGCTGTTTAATGCCACACAGCGGGTGTTGCATGCATCAGTCCAAAAGAAGTTAAATAACAAGCACCCATCCATAAAAAAAAAGTGTCTCACACGGCTCCGGGGGGTGAACATCGCTACAGGAGGCCTTTGTTCACCCCCCAGAGCCGTGTGAGACACTTTTTTTTCAACACCCGCTGAGTGGCATTAAACAGCTTGAAAGATCAAAATTTTCATTTTTGGGTGAACTAACCCTTTAATGATGTATGAACAAACCCCTCAGCAAAAACCTTCAGAATATAGAGAGGTTTTCTTTCCACTTGTCTGAAAGAAGACATTTTATGGAAGCAAAATAGCCCAAAATCTCAAAATTGACCAGTTAAAAAAAACACTGATTTTGCATGTGGTGTCTTGCCTTAAAAGAATGGCCTCTTAAATACGCATGCAGTTAGTCCACACTGTTTTATGCTGCTTTGGAGCTGGTTGGATGCTTTTGGCATGCAAGTTCTGGTGACACTTATTGACAATTCTATTCTAGTCCTAGTTACGAAACTTTGTGGGGACACACAGAACAGCGCCCTCACATGGCAAATGCTTTCGACTGCGCGGTTTGTCCCACTTTTTCTCCACCTCTATGAGTTCGTTGCTCAGGGATTCTTTGGGCTTGTAGGGGAACGGCTTTGGTCGGGGTTTCTTGTAGGTGTGCAGGTCAGGGAACAGATATGGAGGCGGCTGCGGCTGCGGCCGTCTGAACACTGGCGGTAGGACGGAGGACTCGCCGTGACAGTCCACGCTGAGGCAGCACTGGCCGGGGATTTTGACCAGTCGAGGTGAGGGACAGGATGGTGATGCCAGAGGAATATCAGTGGGGCAAAGGGGCACGCAGCCCACTGCCCCGTCGATACAGGTGCACTGGTGTTTGCAGCCCGCGTGAAAGTTTTCTCCATTCTGATACATGCGGCCGTTGTATTCGCAAGAGCGGCCTTCCAGTTTGGCTGAAAAGAAAAGACGGGAAGGGAACTGATTTTAAAATTAGATCAAAAATTTACATTTTAGATAAAGTTTTAGTAATTATAGAGTGTTTTTGTCAGTGTAAAAAAAAATTATATGTCCCGGTTAACAGCGAATGTTCTTAGAACTTTCTTCAAGGTTCTTCCAGTAACGTTAATAGAATATTCGTTCAAAAACATTAGCAGAAAAACATTATTTATACATCGTTTAAGGAATGTTTTTTTCAGAAACATTTTAGTTGGATATTCTGCTAACATTTAAAAAAAAAAATTATACTCCTTTCAGAATGTTCTTTGAACATTCAAAAGTAAAGTTTCCATAATGTTTCTTAAAACTAGTGCTGCCAATCGATAAAAAAATGTACTAATTAATCACACATTTTTTTCTGAAATTAATCATGATTAATCGCAGTTAATCCCACCTAACATGAAAGTTTTTAAATATACTTTCATATTGCAACAATTTCACATTCAGTCTCCGAATTAATGTACAAACAACATAAAGATGGTATATTTTTTATATTTATTTAATGGCATCTTTTTATGACTGAAGGCGAGTATCACTGATATACTACTGATGTCTCTAGGAAATTGTTCTTTTTTTCCTAATATTTAACAATTGACTATAGCCATTCAACATTACGTTATAATCGAGAGCTATCAATTTTAACATTTATTAGACTTTAAAAAACAACAACCTCTAATTTAAGTGAACTTAAAACAATCTTCACATAAAGCCATTATAATAAATGTCACATTTATCTGTGCTCTGCAGCAAGTAGGAAATATACAGAAATTGAATAAAGTTATCAAACACTAAATTCTAAATTAAATATAAATGATTCCTTAAAGCTACAAAAGTTATTGATTTACTCTTTTTTCTTTTGATCTTTGATTAATAGAAATCACAGCAGCTGGGTTATTAGGTTATTTGGCTGCTATTACTTTAAGACCTGCCGCTGCTGAATGTGATGTGGATCTGACACGCATGCTCATAGTTTAATTCGCGCTTTAATATGAAATTATACAGGCTACAGCATGTGCCGCCGTATTTGTGTGTGCATTTGAAGAGCACGCACTACGAGCACAGTATAACGGCTGACAGGACAGGGAGATTCATTTTTACTGACATATGTTCTGACAGCATCTCATCTGACTGCAGTTCACTGATTTTCTACTGAAGATCCTCATCAATTTTACCGTTTCCGCACTCATTTGACCCACGCCTGGCCCTGAGGTGGAGTGCGTGTCTTAATAGTCTTCTGTTTGATGTGGTCGTAAAGATGTTCTGCATCTAAATAAATGCAATTCTTGACAAGAAAAGAGACAGAAGCAGCAGTTGTGAGCGTGGCCAACCCTAGCCCTGCCCTGTATCAACCGTGTTAACTATTTTTAATGCAGTTAAATTGGAAAAATGAATCGCCTGCGTTAACGCACTAATTTTGACAGCAAAAGATTTAAAAAAAAAAAAAACTACATTTTGAATGTTCAGAGAACATTCAGAAATAACATTTTCATAACCTAACGATAACGTTAGCATATCGCTCTTGAAACACATATTTGTTAGCTAAGGTTAGCTAAGTATTTTGTGTTGTTTTCCAGTAAAAATATCTGAACATTAAATAAATTGGCATTAATTTTGACATCTTTTGAATAATTTGCATTGAATTATTATCCAAAAGATGACCTGCACAGAGTGACAGTAAGGGGTTAAACAGAGATTGACACTCTATCCTTTGCTTTTATGAGAGAGGCTCTATGTTTAGGGCAGTGTGGAATTTTGACTTGTTTACAATGTCGTTGAGCATCAGATAGTCTTTGGGTGTGTGAGATGCCCCCTAAAACCCCCCTTTAGTCCAACTGAAATAACTGCCTTAATATAGAAACTAGCCCAGTGCAAAAAATATCCTCTGTATGTGAGGAAATTAATGTGCATGTCTTTATAACTATAAACCCTGAAGCCCAGGGTGACCAAACAACATCAGTCCCCTGTGTAACCCAAGTTAGAATTACATTATTCAGCAGCTTGTCATTCAATTGACCTGCACAGAGTGACAGTAAGGGGTTAAACAGAGATTGACACTCTATCCTTTGCTTTTATGAGAGAGGCTCTATGTTTAGGGCAGTGTGGAATTTTGACTTGTTTACAATGTCGTTGAGCATCAGATAGTCTTTGGGTTTGTGAGATGCCCCCTAAAACCCCCCTTTAGTCCAACTCAAATAACTGCCTTAATATAGAAACTAGCCCAGTGCAAAAAATATCCTCTGTATGTGAGGAAATTAATGTGCATGTCTTTATAACTATAAACCCTGAAGCCCAGGGTGACCAAACAACATCAGTCCCCTGTGTAACCCAAGTTAGAATTACATTATTCAGCAGCTTGTCATTCAATTTATTATTTATGATAATTGTTGGAAGGTTTGGTAAATTTTCAATAAATATAATCATTTTTGAATATAAAATTAGAATAGAGTGTTTTCATTAGTTTTTTTGACAATATATCCTATTGAAACAGGACATTTGGGTGGGACATCAAAGGTTTTGTTAATTTTTGTAAATTTCTAGAAGCCTTTAGTTTGTCATAACCAAACAAAACTTACACATTTAAATTAATTTGCAATATAATATATCGTTATATACTGTGTTTATGTAATGAAATGAAATTATTATGATATAATGACACACATACCCCTACACATGTCACTTTTCGACGTAACCTACGTTCACTCTCACCCTCCCGGTTATCTGCTATGGTTTCATCTTTGCTTCCTTCCCCTGAACAGTTATCATCTCTTGATGTTAACCGTGCTACTGATACTTTCTGCTCCACTCTTACGTCTTGTTTAGACACTGTCTGCATTCTATCTACTTGTTTTTCTTTGTTTGTGTGTGTGTGTATATGTGTGTGTGTGTGTAATATATATATATATATATATACACCTTGCTACGTGTACTGCGTTAGGCTAACCGAGACTTGTCATTTGCACTTATATATTGTTGCTCTTTTGTTAGTTTTGACTGCTTTTATTGTCCTCATTTGTAAGTCGCTTTGGATAAAAGCGTCTGCTAAATGACTAAATAAATAAATAAAAATAATGAAATTATTTTTTGTTATCAAATTAAATCAATTTGCATCATCACTATCATATTCTGTGACAAACACGCTAATGCAAAATCATTATAAATTTATTGTGATACGTGCAAGTAAATATTTAAATTTATAAAAAAACATTTTAATTTTCTTTAGCATATTGTGATTTATAGGCTAACGAAATTTAATTGCAACTTAAAAAGTTGTACATTATTATAGATTTATATATATAGCATATATAAGATGTATTTAAATATTAAATTAATAAAATATAAAATTTTTACATATGTATTGGCATATATTGTAATATATGCAAATACATATACATACACACACTATTAATAACACACACACACACACTCACACTATTGCAAATTAATTTAAATCTATACAATTATTTTTAGAGACCCCAAAAATCAAAACTCGAGTTGTTTTGTTCACTCACCCCGGCAGATTCCATGGATACTGGCCACATCGTTGCCATAGTTACACTCCAGGCCCTTGTGATGGTCACAGGGTTTGCCTTCATGGCAGTCGTCGTTCAGCTGGGCGGCACAAACCTTACAGCAGCTGCAGCCATCGGGCACCGCACTGACGCCTGGCGGGCACACGGGCCGCTCCGCCGGACACTTACACACCTTAGGACACCTCGCTCGTACCTGTCAGATGTCAGAGAGACGGATACAGAGTTCAGTTTGAGCTTGGGGCAACTTAATGTTACCAGACAAAAACTTTTCATAAATAAAATGACCATTCTGAATATTTAAAGGGATACTTCACCCAAAAATAATTTGAAAAAAATCTGTCATCATTTACTCACACTCAAGTTGTTCCAAACCTGAGTTCATTTATTTACATTGAAACAAATTACATTATTTATTAATAATGGAAAGGTTCTCGCAATATTAATAGAATGTTCCTTCAATGTTATCTGGTCTTTAATAATGTTCTGAATCTATTAGCACAAAAACATTATACATTGTTCATGGAAAGTTTTTCAAAAACATTTTAATTGGATGTTCATCTAACATCTCACTACTTGATTCAGAACTTTTAGAGAACATTCAAAACTAATGCTCATAATGTTTGAAAATTATAAAATTGGAAAAAAAAAAAGGGTAATAAAAAATATAAACTTACATCAGGATTTGGTATGAAGCTACTCAAAAAATTTTACAAATACTTTACAAAATTATTCAAGTGGATATTTGCAATGGTTAATGAATCGTAAAAAAGTACTATCGCCATAGCAATTTTTTTAGGGTTTAATCGCATCCAAAATAAAAATTAGTTTTTATATAATATACAGTATGTGTGTGTTCTGTATATACAGTATGTATATATAAAAACACATATATGTACATATTTAAGAAATATTTACATATTATGTAAAGCAAACTTTTATTTTGGATGCAATTAATTGTGATTAATTGATATTTTTTACATTACTTATATTATTACTAAATTATTGTATACTTGTAGTATAAAACTACTAAACTAGTAGTTTACTGAGACTATACTTCAAAGTGTACTAAAAATGCTACTAAGTATTTAATTAGAAAACTATCAGTATACCTAGTTCACTTTTAGTATAGTTGCAGTACAAACTAAACATTTTGATGTAAACTAGTTGTGTACTCAAAGTTTACTACTGTTATACTTAAAAGTATACTTTTATATATTAGAAAGTGGGCCAATTTAGTCCCAAGGAGTATTGAAATAGTACACACAAACAAGTATACTAAGTACACTGATATTTGTATACTTACTACATAAAGTATACTTAAAAAATATACTTGAACTTTACTTAAGTATACTTACTAAAATAAACTTGAAGTATACTACTTTTTGGTAAGGGTAATGACAGAATTTTTATTTTGTGATGCACTATCCCTTTAAACCAGCTCAAACCAACAGCCATTCTTCAAAACATACCTAACCAGCCTATTTTTCAACAGGGAAGAAACATTGCATGAATGAGGTATGATGTTTTTGTGCTAATGGGATCACACACACACACATATATATATATATATATATATATATATATATAATAACTAAAGAAAGGAAGAGAGAAAAAGGTTAAATAAAAGTAAATGTAAAGCCAAATATGTTCAGATTTGAATGTACTTTCGATGTTTCTCAGGTCAGGTCATGTTTTCAGTCATTTCATCAGGAGTGGAAAAGCTGAGCATGACAAACACGCTGCACATGGAGGATGGATGGAGTGATGTGAAAAAAAAGGTGTGGGTGGAGGAGTGTGAGGACCAGATCAAACAGACTACCGTCAAAAACACGTCTGTGGAAAAATAGTGAGAGATGGAGGCCAGAGGTTGAACGTAAGAACCTGAGGAAAGACTGAGCAAAGGTACAAACACAGAGAGACAGAAGGAAAGACATTCAGACTTTTGAAAGTCATTAACTGGAAAGAAAGTTTCTGAAATGCTTCCAGACAGGTAGTTTAGTGTCAGTCATCACATAAACACAAATTCATTCAGCACCAAAATAATTTCTCTGTACAAAGTAATTATTACTTGCAAATACTTGAAATATATATTATGTAAATACATATTAATATCTATACAGTTGTATATTCAGCAATTAAAGTGCACATCGGTACATAAGTCTTATGTTTATTCTGTATAAATGTATTTATATTTATATTATAAATGTAATTATATTACATACATTGTTTTATTTTAATTCTGCTTAATTTTTCGAGATGTTCAATACTTTTTATTTAATTCAACTTTAAAGTTTTTTTTGTTAATTCTCAGTTCTACAGTGCCTTGCGAATGTATTCATACCCCTTCATTTTTTTCACATTTTGTTTTGTTGCTGCCTTATGTTAAACTGCTTTAAATTCGTTTTTTTCCGAAAGGCACACACGTCTTAATTAAAGGTCTAACAGCTGATAATGCATATCAGAGCAAAATCCAAGCCCTGAGATCAAAAGAACTGCCTGTAGAGCTCAGAAACATGTTTGAGTCAAGCCACACATCTGGGGAAGAGTTCAGATCAGAGCATGAGCTTGAACCCAATCAAATAATTCTGGAGAAACTTGAAAATGTGCATTTGCCCCCATCCAACCTGACAGAGCTTGAGAGGTGAAAAGGTGAGGTGAAGAATGGCAGATAATTGCCAAAAGATGATGATCAAAGCTGTCGCATCAAACAAAAAAGACTTGAGGCTGTAAAGGTGCTTCAGCAAAATATTTAGTTAAGGGTATGAATACTTATGCAATGTACTTATTTCAGTTTTTTATTTTTAATAAATTTACGAAGTTGTGACAATTCTGTTTTTGCTTTGTCAGTATGGTGTATGGAGTGTAGATTGATGTGGAAAAAAGGTAATTTAAAGAAGTTTATCATAAGGCAGCAACATAACAAAATGTAAAAAAAAAATGAAGGGGTATGAATACTTTCGCAAGGCACTGTATATATATATATTAATTAATTATTTAGAGATGTTTATTACTTAGAAAAACATCTATGTGCTGGAGCTTTAGTGTCTGAGGTGAAATACCAAGAGGTTTATCACACATCCAAATCACATCTCAAGATTCCTATGAAGCCAAATATTGTTGTTAATATGAAGAGGGCTCTCCTGACCGTAAGTAACCACTGAGGAGCCTTTATTTTGGAGGTTGTGTAACACACTGCTGGGCCATCTTGCTCCACTCCAGCAGAGACGAACCAAGATAAAGAGAGAGAGAGAGGAATTTTAGTCTCTGGGTTATTTTTAACCCAGAACAGGAACTGCTGTGTTGACTCCCCAAACACACACCTGACACCGCCGGAAACAGAGTTTCTGCAGAGACAGTCACATGATCTGTGAGGGTCTGATGATTATTATCACGACTCCATTCAGGGGTCATTGACAAATAAGAAGGTCCGAGATGTTTTTTGTTAAAAAAACAAACATCTGCCATGTTATTAGAGGTGCAATCTTTGTGTTCCTGGTGGTTTTATAATGTAAGAAAAAAATAACAGACAATTATTTAAAGACACAAAAGGTGCAAATACTCTTTTTTTTTTTTTTTGCAACTAGCCTACAAACAAATGTATTTTCCTCACATCTTGAATATATGTGCACATGTTAATTATTTTCACACTTAGCATTTTAGTCATTTTTAATCATGAAAATCATGTCATAGACCTATCCTAAAATACTCTGATATTTTTAGGTTTTTACGATCTTGATGAAGAAAAGGAAAACATCTTTTGAAATTCTCGTGTTAAAACACATCTGCCATGTTACAAGAGATTTAATCTTTATGTTCATTATGCTTTTATACAGTTTTAAATTAGACTCTTGCAATAATTTAACGGAACAAAACTGGTGAAAATACTTTTTTTTATTATACTTAAAGCGTAATTATTTTAATGCACGTGAACGTATTTTTATAATTTATTTTCTAGAGGAAAAGTAGTGTGTGTGCGCGCGCGCATTAGAAAAAGGTGGCATGATGCTAGCATGATATAGGAAACTAATAAAGTTGGTACATATCGCCACTGGTCAAAAGTCATAGTGACCAGAATCACCGCTGTTTTGCACTTTTTTTTTATCCGCCACACCCTCAGTAGTGACCGATCACTCACTCCCTCATTGCATAGATTTACCGCGTCACACACACACTTCAGCAGATGGTGTCACAGAGAGCCGCCTTGTTCTGCCTCTTTCCACCGGTAGCCCGCAAAAATCCCAGAAATCCCTGTTATTTCCGCACCTGTGTTTGTTTGGCAGCCGTAAACACATGAAACGCCTCAGAACTGAAGCCGTGTGTTCGGCGCACAGACCTCGCCTCTGTTCACACTCTCACCGCGCAACAGCGCCATCTATGGAAGAAAAATAATGACACATGTATTTGAAAAACTGCATATTGAACTGCACTAATTGGGACAAACATGCATTGCATTAACAGTGCTTGCATTTTATTGCATTGTATTATCAGGGCTTGCATATTTAGGAGCTAAAATTCAACATGGTTGTATATTTAAGATGTGAATATTTCAATTCAAATAATTTCACACACCTTTTCATTAATTAACTAATATTCACCTTCCAGCCTTCACTTTAATATTCAGTCTGTTTAAAAATACAGCCTATGATATTTGACAGGCAATTTTCTGTTTGTTTTATTTTGCTTTACAAATTCATTTCCACAAGTTCAGCGACAGAATATTCAGCACTGAACATCTGGGAAGTACAGGAATAGCAGTAGAATACTGATAGGCTACCTGATCTCCATCTGCTGATAGTTGCTCACCGGCATATGGTGCAAGTTGGTGTTGATGAAGACCACCAGGTAGAGCAAGTCATTCATTCAAAAAAGCTGATCTGGAGCTAGAGGTAAGTATGATTATCAGAGTCGGTGGATAGGCTGTGTCTGGCTGTCTTGTGGCCTGTAGGATAGATACAGCATACAGCATTCGTGGCCTAATGGTTAGAGAGTCAGACTTGTAACCCAAAGCTTGAGGGTTTGAGTCTTGGTACCAGCAGGGATTGTAGGTAGGAGGAGTGAATGGCCAACGCCTCGCACCTTCAATGAACCCTGACTGAGACCCTTAAGCAAAGCACCAAACCCTCCCTAAATGGCTGTCAGTGCAAGTTTCTTTCAGTTAAAACAGGCCAGACATTCATTTTAGTCTGGGACTAG